AATAAACCTCCTCCATACTCAAAATGCCCAAATCTCAACCATAAGATAGATCTAAATGCAATAAGGTCAGCTTATTACCTCAAAGGATCTGAAAAGTCACACCAACTATGTATCCAAGGCTTCCTCTTGCACCACTATGAACCTCTTTCTCTTCCAAGCTTCAAATCACGTCACCAAGGCTAGATCTTGCTCAAAATGGATATGGTGGCTAGACCTTGCTCAAAATAGGGCACCAAGTCCCCAAATTAGGGTCTCCCAATCCAGACTGGACTCACCGAGTCCACTTTCCGACTCGTCGATTCAGTCACTTACTCTTCGACCCGGATCCCGCTCGGACTCGTCGAGTTCCACCCTGGACTCGACGAGTTGACCCCTTTGACTTAGGGTTTTCCTTTCCTTTCTTGGTCTTTCTGTTCATGGGTGTTACACTATCTCCCCCCTCTCTTCCTTATCTCGGCCAAACACCACTCAAACCCTCTCGACTTTTCATTTCAAACTTACCCACACTACTTTCATCATCTCTCTATAACTCAAAGGAATTATCTTCTTTCTTTCTCTAAAACTCGTGGGTGTGCATGAGTTTTTCAAAAATCTCTCTTCAAGCCTTCATAAATTGGTAAGTACTCTTGTTAATCTTAAAGATTATCATATCCTTCAAGCTAAAAATCTTGTTTACATCCTTTGCTTTGTGTTAAAACTCTTAGATCCACCTCCATTTCAAGATCCCACCAAAAACTCAATCTAGGTTCAAAAATTCTTCTTCATCTTCTTCTACATCTCAAAAACCCCAAAGGTTAGTTCATACCCCCTTGTTTTCGGTTTTATAATGCTTTTGGGGAAGAATACAAGTGTTTTTGTGTTAGATCTATGTATATATGCATGTTTATGTGTTCAACTTTTATATCTTTACTTGAAAATGAAGTTTATCACTTGGATCTTCGTAAAAACCTTGAGAAAAATATGTGTCATCACATATAATACATGTAAACTTGTAGATTTGGGATTTATATACTTAAAATAGCAAAAACAAGTGTTGTGAACAAACTTAGATAACTTAAACTCAAAAATCTGCCCATGACAGAAAAGTTTTAGTCCAATATCGAACTGTTTTGACCTCCTTAATGGTAATATGTTTCAAAACTGTTTTACATGCAAAAATTTCAGGTTATTACCTTTAAAATAACTACTCTCACGTTTTCATATGATTTTCCTACTATATTTGGCAAATTTTACAAAACTGCCTATCAGATTTGAAATAATTTCGGACCAACCTGTGAAGGTGAGCAATTTCACACTTGTTAGAGGCCAATAAAAATTATGAGAAATTTTTTGAACAAAGTAGACAAAATTTACAAACTTCCAGAATTTACAGATCCAAATTTTGTCTTATGATGATTTTTCTACAAATTTTCCAACAACTAGGTCAGAAAAGCCAAAAACCATAAAAATGTGTATTTCACAAAAATCAAGCAAAAAATAGGTTTAAAATGTTATTTTTACCACAAACTAGTCAAAAACACAAGTTTTGAACAAAATGGGGACTAAAGTGTTATTTTTACTATAATTGGGCCTTAATTGAAAATTTTGTGGCTTATTGGGCCAAGAACGTCATTTTTACAAAAAGTGGGATTTTTATATCAATTTTGTAAGTAATTGAGCTAAAATAAACAAAACAATAACAAATGGGTTAAAAACGATATTCATATCCTTATTGGGTCTGGAGATAATATACATGTTTAGTGGGCCTTAGTGTCATTTTACATGTATATTGGGTTCAGGATAGACATTCATATTCCTTTTGAGCCTGGAAATAATAGACACGTATAGTGGGCCTTAGTGGTCTACTTACATGTTTATTGGGCATGAGAATGAGTTTTATATGTGTTCTTCCTTCTTTTCCGTCTAAATTTTCGATTAAGGATCTAGTGAGACTTGTCGGTTGGCACCTTTGAGTGTACAATCGTAGCCTGTAGTTATAACCAGAGTTTCCTGGAGGGAAAGCGGTAGTTTGTGTATAGATCTATACGGGGGTGACACCTCACACCTGAGTTGTTCGCTACAGTTAGACTAGGTCAGTCTAAGATGACAAAAACCTTATCCTATTCCGTCGGCGTCCCAAGGACGCAAAGACAGGCGAAATTGTCATTATTTAGTAGGGTTATAACGACTCACTTAGAGGAATTAACGTTATAAGATTTATGGGAAACCATCCTATGTTCTTTTTGGATAAAACAGGAAACCATCCTATGTTCTTTTTGGATAAAACGGGAAACCTTCTTTTTGATGAAACGGAAATCTATGCACACCGGTACTCAACCACGGGGGTTGAGATTCCAGCATCATCTAACGCAGACAACATCGGGTTGTCTAGAAATCATTCTCTTTCTATTTTTTTGTAAACATTAACACACATGCATTAATATAAGATCGAACAAAAATATTTCAAACCATTTTTATTAGAAAATATCGGATTTTAAATGCACTATGAAAACGATTCTAAACAAGTACAAAAACCATTTTTATTCAAAACTGCTTATGAACTCACCAAGTTTTTAGTTGATGCTTTTCAAAACAACTTGTATTCTCAGGAATTCCAGTAGCAGGTAATAAGCTCGACTATGAGGTTAAGTGGTGCAACTTCAAGAAATTTTACTTTCTTACTTTTGTGTAACTGATGAACAAATTCAATATGTAAACTATGTAAATGTGTATCTTCAATGTATGATGTTTGGTTGCTATGTTTCATTCATATTTAATTGTTATGATACTATACACGAAGTCGTCCGCCTCCGGACGTGTTTGCCATCTAGGTTTAGGGGTGTGACATTTGAGTATGGTTGTCTGTCTATCATGCACTTCTAGTCCATCATATTTAAGCATGGTCTGGTCCATCATACTTAAGCATGACCTGATTTGTTTGTTTTTGAGACACACACACACACACACATATATATATATATATATATATATATCACACACACACACACACACACACACATATATATATATATATATATATATATATCAAGGTTGTAAAAAACGCTCGACGTTAGCTAGTCGAGGGACTGGGGTTAAGCGATTAATCGGCTAGGCGGAGATTAATCGGGGACCATTAATTGCTAATTTACTAAATTTTATAAAATTAAATATGAATAATATTATACCAAAGTTCATAAATACCACTAATATCATAATAAAATAGGTTACTATGATTAATACAACACTAATCATGCCTCAAATAGTTTCTATTGAGATAAAACTTCTTGAAAATGTTACAATTTCATCGTTTTATACTATTTCACTCATTATGTATGTACAGATTAATCGCTAGGCGCCCTCTAATCGGTCGAGTAGCGCCTAAGGATTAATCGGAACCTAATCGGGATTTTTACAACAGTGATATATATATATATATATACACACACACACACACACACACATACACATGTTTTTGATATGTATTTATTATATTTATATGTATTTTGTTATGTGTGTGTGTGTGTGTATATATATATATATATTTATATATATATATGTATGTATTTATTTAAAATGTATTTATTTAATAATATTAATAATAACAAATTTAGAAAATAATATATTTATTTGAGTTTTCATTAAATTAATAAAAATAAAAATAAAAATAATAAATATATGTTTTGCAGAAAAGTCTCAATATTTTATGTCAGTTGACGAAATAGTTCCAACAATTTGCGACAATTTACGAAATGATCACACCTTAATTTGTTACCGGCTGAATTGAAAAAATGATGAAAATGCAATATTTTATGGGTTTTTAGGGATTTTTTTTATAAAAATAGTTAATTTGGAACTATTTTGTAGATTTATCCAAAATATTAAAACTTTTTGGGAAATTTTACATGATGAAAATATAAATATGAAAGTTGGGTGATTTGTTGGAATAAATGGATCAGAACATATGATATGGGTAACGATAGATTTTATTATTGCTAATGTGACATCTCATAACTTAGTCATAACAAGATGAACACCACCATTTCTTCTTGTTGTATCTAGTTGTGTTGCTTCTTGTTGTGGTCATGACTAGATGAAATGTGATATTCTATTGGCTGCACAAATTCTCTCTCTATCTCGACTCTTAACGGGTGTTATAACACTATAAACACCACTCCCTCTTTTTGTTGCTTCTTGTTATAACTCCACTTCAAATTGTTACCATATGCTCTAAGTGGTTCTAAGTCAACATGTTAAAGTTGAAAATACAATGGTTGATGTAGTAAAATATGAAAGTTGGGTGGTAGGTTGGAATAAATTGATTAATAATGTTTAATATTAAAAATGACTAAAACATAGAATGCAATTTGTCCCTTATTATTATTTAATAACAATTTTTCCCCGTATTACAATATTATGTACGTAAAAAAACTTATATTATATATAAAAAACTTCTATGCAAACAATTTGTTTTTTATTACTGTTATAAAAAATTGATTGAAAACATTATGTTATCCGAGAGATTTAAAAAAATTAGATATTTAAAAAAGAAAGCACTTTTTTTCTTTTTTTTTTTCTTTTTGTGTTTAGAACATCTGTAATATAATTTTTAGGAGATTATCGAGATAAATAAACCATAAATTAAAAAAAAAAAAAAAAAGCTTTAAAAATATTTTCTTCGCTTAAAAATTTTAATATAGATTTCCAACTCCATTAAACATAGTGTTTACTTCTTTCATCCTATATTTTTAGTAATATTTTATTTTATTAATGTTAAAATTTATATTTGTATTACCCAAAAATAAGTTTAGACAAAATTTAACAATTGTTAAATGCATGGAATGGACATTTTTGTCCTTACCCCTCATTTTTCTACTTTATTCATATTTTTTAATCACCTTTTCTTACCATTGAATCCGTAAACAATTTCATCCAACACTTCTATAAAAAAACCCCAACACCACTCGAAACTGTAAATAGATACAATTGAATTCATCCACCATTCCACCTCAATGCAATAGAATATGAATATGGCTCCCCAAAGAACAATCGTCGACCAAGTTTCCGGCTGGTTCACAGTCTATGACGACGGTTTTGTTGATCGGACATGGACAGGACCACCAGAATTCAAGTTCATGTCTGATCCAGTCCCGCCACACAACAACTTCATCCACGGCGTAGCAACCCATGACCTTTTCATCCATCCAGATTCCGATGATCTTCGCGTCAGAGTTTATCTCCCTGAGGTTCCCGACGACTCCAGAAAGCTGCCCATAATCCTCCACTTGCATGGTGGAGGGTTTTGCATCAGCCAAGCTGACTGGTTCATGTATTATAATACCTACACCCGACTCGTATGTGAAACTGGAGCCATCGTTGTTAGTACCTACCTCCATCTTGCCCCTGAGCATCGCCTCCCTTCCGCCATTGATGAAGCTTACTCCACCCTTGTCTGGCTCCAAGATTTGGCCAATAAAAAAGCACACCAACCATGGGTGTCGAGTAAAGGCGACTTCAACCGTGTTTTCCTCGTCGGAAACAGCACCGGTGGGAGCATAGTCCATCAGGTGGCTAAAAGGGTAGCCGGAGAAAACCTCCATCCACTGAGACTGGCCGGAGCGATTCTCATCCATCCAGGGTTTCTCAGATCGGTGAAAAGCAAGTCGGAGTTGGAAAAACCAGAGTCTCCGTTTTTTACTCGGGACATGTTGTATAAGTTTCTGCAGCTGGGGTTGCCGGAGGGCACCACCAGAGACCACCCGATAACATGTCCGATGGGAGAGGGAGAGGCGCTGCGTGGGTTGGATTTGCCGCCGTATCTGGTGTGTTTGGCGGAGGATGACTTGATGATAGAAACGGAGATGGAGTTTTATCAAGAGATGAAAGAAGCTGGGAAGAAGGTTGAGTTGTTGATGAGTAATGGAGTTGGACACAGTTTTTATCTCAATAAGATCGCCATTGACGTGGACCCAAAAACCTCTCAAGAGACTCATAAATTGATCCAAGGAATCTCCCATTTCATGCGAAACAACTAAGTAAATCTTGCTATGAGTGTAATTCCAACATATCTTTCAATTATGTCTTGTTAGTTTCAATCAATATATACATGCACACGTTCGTTTTTTTTTTTAAATGTTTTTTGGGATGTTGAAGTTAATCTTTATAGTGAAAATTATAACGTGGAATACCTTGATACCCGAAAACAAATTAACTTCATATCTCCGTAGTGAGTACTTAGTTAGAACTTAGAAGGGTTACATTAATATAAATTTTCAACATATTAAAGGTCAATTATTATTTTATGTTTTGTTTCTTTCTAACATGTTGTTAGTTCATTAATATAAAAATCACTTATGTAAAAGCTATTTGTAAGTTACAAAGCTTAATGTAAAAATCACTTATGTAAAAGCTATTTGTAAGGGAAATCAATTAAGTTTGTGTTTTTGAATTTCCATTTTGGATATAGTAGAGATAGTGGCTAGATTTTTTGCCTTTCTGTTATGTTTTTTTGTCATTGATTCCTCAAACAATTTCAAACAGTTGATACATCTTCTGAGTTTTCTTTTATATATAAGTGATTTGCGAACAGTGGTATTAGAACTAGGCTCGAAAGGAAGAACACAAATTGGGAATTAAATAGTATCCGGATAAAAGTCATGGGTCAAGGAAGTGTGAAACTGGAAGTGAAAGGAAAAGCACAAATTGTAAGGGACGTGTATTATATTTATATGTCGTAATTAACAAACAACTTGTTAAGTGCCAGACAACTAATTGACATTAATTTAGCCTAGATTTAGTCATGATGACACACCACCATCATCATCTCAATCTCGTCCCACACCACTGCTGATTCACCATCAACCACCGACACCATCGCCAATTCACCATCGTTATCTCGCACAAAAGGATATTTTTTGATTTTATTGTGACCACATGACTTACAATCCAGATTTAAGAGAAAGTATCGAGCGAGGGAAGGAAGGAAGGAGACGCTCATGTTTGTCCTTTGTGTGATCGATTACAAGAGAAAGGAGGAAGGACATGCAAACATACAACAAAAAAGGACCTCGGTTCTTCGTTTTTATACAACCTTTGTGTGATCGATTACAAGAGAAAGGAGGAAGGGCTAGAATTAATCATATTCGTTATTTTTGTGCTCTAGTAGTGGCGGAGCCAGGTTCAAAGTAAAGAGGTATCCCAAAAAAATTTCGGATGGCCTAATTTTTTTCCGATGTACTTTGGTTTCGGTTTTAAACCTAAACCTTAATCGAATCCTTAGATAACCTAAAGTCATGTTATATAAACATGAAGTTGAAGTATCTTTTGATACACTATATAAGTGAAGGGAAACACTATCCCGGGCTCTACATTGGATCCACCCATGTGCTCTAGTTCTTTTCATTTTAGAAAAAAAAGGATGATTGTAATCTTTCAAAAATGAAACATATTCTTTTAATAAAACAGTTAGAATTTAGTAGATTCTTTACTTTTCTCAACTTATTATATAATTATATTAAGACAAAACTGCAAAATTAGTCCATATGGTTTGCAAAAAACTATGAATAAGATCCATAAAGTTTTCAACTTGCATAGAAGGTCCAAAATCACGATTTTTTTTGTGAATTTCGTCATAAAATTAAGAATTTCTTGTGAATTTGGTCCATGGTACACTTGAAAGGTCAATTTTTCCCTTTTTATTTCCTATTTCCTTTTTTTTAAAAATTTAATTTAGAATTTAAATAATTAGAAAAAAAGGCAAAACTGCAAATTTGGTCCTTATGGTTTGCAAAAATCTTTGGATGAGATCCAAAAAGTTTCCAGCTTGCACAGAAAGTCCAAAATTAAGGGTTTTCTGGGTTTTTGGTCATAAACTTAAAAAATTCTTGTAATTTTGGTCCATGCAGCACTTGAATTGACTGTTTTGCCCTTTAAATTTCTTTTTTGTATTTTTTATATTTTATTTTATAAATATTAATGCAAAAAGGAATTAGGTTGGTTCACTGCATCTCTCTTTCTCTCTCTCTCTCTCCCCACCCCATCGGAGCCCTCCCCAATTCTCTTTCTTCTTCTTCTTCTTCTTCTTCTTCCTCTTCCTCATCTCTCTATCTCTCTCTCTCTCCCTATCTCTCTCTCTCTCTCTCTCTCTCTCTCTCTTTTTCTTTCTCTCTCTCTCTCTCTCTCTCTCTCTCTCTCTCTCTCTCTCTCTCTCTTTCTCTCTTAAAATAAAACGCCATGGTTGGACTTGTGTGCTTCTTTCTTGCTTGAAAATAAAAACAAATCCACATAAACCAAACACATACACATATATTCCAAATTACCAATCGTTTCTGTCTAAAAGCTCCTATTAAAAAACCCAAATATGTGGAAAAAAAGAGAGCTTGTGTTCCATCTGGGTTTTGTTTTGAGGTTGTGAAAAATTCCAACTAAACACAATCATCAACAACACCAAATTCCCCCAATTGATGAGTCGATGATGAGATGATGAACTGGTAACGTATGCGTCGATGATGAGATGATGAACTAGAATATGAGGAATGCACACTAATTCCCCCATCCCTTCTTCTTCTTCTTCTTCTTCTTCTTCTTTTTCTCACCTGCACGCGCCGTTATTGAGTTCCAGCTGTCAAAGTTTTCATTTGCTCCATTAGTGTCGTCATCATCATTACTACGTCTTTGAATCAGAACCCTAACCTTTGGTTCAACACAAACCTGTGTAAGGGATTCCATATATGTTGTTAATCATCGGACAACCACCATCAAAGAAATTAGGGCTCTTAAGAAGTAAGGGTTGATAAACAACATAAATTGAAGCATATTTCCACAAATAATCGAAGATCTGACATCTGGGTTCAATATACATAGTGAAAAACTGAAACACATACACACACACTCGAGAAAGAAAAAAATGGTGTAAACTCGATTGAAGAAAAATTAACTTGTGTGTGTTTTCTTTCTGATTTGCAGGTTGTGTTTATGATTGTGGTGGTCGACAGTGGGAATTGTGATGTGAAGAGTGTTTGCTTATCGTGAACTGTAACAATATGAGGTTGCAGTTCGTGTGTCCATGGAGAGAATATGGAGAGAAGATGATGGAACTGTGGGAAGAATCGATGGAGTAATTGGGTTTTTGGTCATGTGATGAGAGAGAGAGAGAGAGAGAGGTGGAGTGGGGTCTATCTTTTTTGTTTTTTTATTTTTATTTCATAAAGTATTCTAATAAATACGAAAAGAAAATATAAAATTGAAATTGAAAGGGTAAATCAGTAGTTTTAAATATTTTTGGACCAAAAACCCAGAAAAACCTTGATTTTGGACCTTCAGAGCAAGCTGAAAACTTTTTGGACCCCATCCAAAGATTTTTGCAAACCACAAGGACCAAATTTGTAGTTTTGTCAAAAAAAAAAAAAAGATTCCACTCTACCCTACCTCCCCCCCTCTCTCTCTCTCTGATCATTTCTCTTATTTGATTGTCTTCATCATCCTATTTTCTTCCAAACCAAATCACATACATACAAAAAATTAAAAAATAATACATAATTGACGATTCGATACCTGCAACTATCTCTAACACACACACACATAATTGATGATCGCTTACAACGCCTAAGAAATTAGGACTGAGCTAACTTTCGTCGCCGGAGAACATAACCCATAAACCTGATCTTTGCTTCTATCTCTCCTTACCGTTGAATCACCTAACCTGGAATCTACTATTTTGTTCCAAATGTGGAATCCACAAAACCCAAACACATTGCATCTTATTTCAAACCCAAACTCACCTCTGTTTCTCTGTTACATCTACATCGAATTTCTTCATCTTTTGATCTAATGTGAACATCTAATTTCTCCATACAAGTTCTATATAAAGATAAGACTTTCAATTAACCTGACCAAGTTTACCAGAAAAAGTGCTACATAGATAAAGTTTAATCAGACCTCCTGAAGGGGAAGGGGGTTTCATCAAAGGTGTGTTTATTAAACCGACAATGGAGTGGAGTACGGTGGACATGCGATATCCGATTGTTGGGTCCAATCATCGAGGTTTCGTAATTGCAGGTTTGTGTATCCATTGGTTCAAGAAAGAGAGGGGGAGTGAAGACGATGAGAAGTAACATACTTACCGATGATGAGGGACAACGAGAAATTTGGGCGGGGACCATTAGGGCTTTTTGACGGGAATGAAGACGATGAAGCCGACGTTTTTTTGATGAGTGAGAAAGAGCGAAAGAAATGCAGGGTGAGGTAGTGAGGTGGGTTGTTGTAATGTCGTGGGCCCATTTTTTTTTAAAATTAAAAAACAATTAGAATAAATAAAGAAAATATAAAAAAGAAATAATAAGAGTAAAATAGTCTTTTCAAATTTCTAAGGATCAAAATCAAAGGAAAATCTTGATTTTGGATCTTCCATGCAAGTTGAAAACTTTTTTTTGTTTTTTTGTTTTTTTTTGTTTTTTTTTTTTTCCTTTGCTTGCTGACACACTAGGTGCTACGTGCTGTGTCCTCAACAACCCACTGCCCACCGATCTACATATTGAACATCGACTCCCATTCTATCATCCATTCTTCTCTGTTGACTTCCACGCCTTAGTTACCGCCTTCCCCACTACGCGCCGTCTTCTTCCTTCATTTTTGCTTCGTCGATTGGAGCTGGATGGGTTTGTTCTTCTCACTACTTCCACCTCCTGTACGCTGACCACCTTTCTATTATCTCTACCTCCGCCTAAATTTTCATCTCTGTCGGCTCCCTCTTTGACATCATTCTTCTGTAAGCCCTAATTGAGGATTCAAATCAGGTAGTCGGAGTACCGGAGGTGTTGGGTTTGTTAAGAATTGCGACTCGCTGAATTCTCTATTTGATTAAGGTTCAGTGGGACACATTGTGGACGTCGTATGAGACTCAATTCGTTGAGCCTGGGAATACCAATAAAATTCTTCATCATCATCGGTGGAGAAAACATCGGGAATATCGACGAAGATGGCGTTGTCCCTTGCACCGATCCGCACCGATCCTTGAAGATGGGGAGTAATATTTTTA